ATTTATATCATCATCATCATCATTTCCATCATCATAATCATTATTACATAGGTTCACAAACTTGTTCCCAGACCAGCTATAGAATTCTAGAACAGACAAAAATCTCGAATCAAGAAATATTTGTGGCAGCAGGCAAGATTTCATTCATTCCTATCTGAAATAGATGTAGTACGAATATGTTTTACGCCTGTATTCCTCCATTTCTCTAAGTAATCTTAATAGAATCCTAATGTAATACGCAATGATTATGAAGGTCACTTGCGAATAAATTGCTCTGTGATATACCAGACAGAAATTATTTTTATACACATTTTTTCTTTTGATTATCTTTTGTTTTAAGAAAAGAAAAGAAAACGGGAGGAGGAAGGTGAGGGGTGGGGTGTGGATGAATCCGTTTGCACTTTTCCCTTTTTATCTAATATCATTACTATTTCGATTATGGTAACTGATATCATTGGTATCTGGACTGCATCTAAAACAGATACTGTGTTTATTGCCATTGTCAATACTGTCATTACCGTTAGCAGTAATATCATTATTATCATTATAGTTATGATTTTGATATTATTATTATTATCATCTTCATCATCATTATAATTATCACCAACATCATTATCACTATCATTATCATCATCATTATTACTATCATCATTTTTTTCATTATCATTCATTATTATTATTGTGATAATAATAATTATTATTATCTCAATAAAAGAATCAGTTATTAGCATCATAATTATCATTATCTTTATCATCATCATCATCTTCATCTTCAACCCCATCCTCATTATCATCATCATTTGTAGTAGTAGTAGTAGTAGCTGCAATAGTCCCAGATGATAAAACATTCGTCTTTACATTGAGTATAAATACCAGGTAGTATTGTTGATCCTTTTTTCACTATTCTTTTTAATCATTTCCCCTTCTGGTCTTTGTTTCAACTGGATCCATTAAACCTCATTATCAATACTTTTGTTATTGTTCAGTGAATTAATATTGTATTTCGATGTAACAATTAATATTATTACTATTGTCCTTCTTATCATTGTTGATATGTACTATTTTACACTAACCAACCATCTTAACACAACCTCAACTCACATCCTATCAATAATTATCAAAATCAATGACACTCAAAGCAGAGCTGCTAATATTATTATTGTGAAAGCATATTTGGTACTATCAGATCCAATTGTATTAATATCATATTAAGTTCAGAATATTAGTCTACAAATATCATCACAGGAAAGGAAAGACAAACTTAGAAAATTACATTTATTTTCATTTTTGAAACTAAAGCAGCATTAATACAGAAACTAAAACATGCTCTTTCAGAATAAAGGTATGACTAGTTTAATATTCATTTAAATATAATCCCGGTAAACGCATTTCTGCAGCTAGTTTCAGGTCACCACATATTGACATTAATTTGTTAACAAATGTCAGAGTTGCCACTTGCTGCCAAATTAACTTAGGAATTATATGAATGATAATTGTAATGCCAGAAATGCAACTGACAACCAAAGGGTATAATAACATTTGTTAACCAATACTTTAATCTTAGTATGTCTGTGACAAACAACATTTACTAGATTTCTAAATCTGAGTCACAACTCTTCATAGCATATCTAAAATTAATCATAAGAGGTTTTTCGTGCCCTTAAATATGTCCCATGAAGAAATTTGTACATGTGCAACATTTACATCTTACCACTTGGAGGGTATATTTTGTTTGTGCAACCTACAACACTTGAGTTATTTGTGGCAAGCTTTTACATTGTACTCATATATAATATCTGCATATGCTTGAAGATTTTATGTTGTGATTATTTCATATATATAAATAATCTGCAAACTTATTGTAATATGTATGATACTGTCCATATATTTATCATTGTTATTTTCATTTACAGGTAACACACAGCATCTCAAAATATATAGTAAAAAATAAAACATTTATATCTCTATAAAAGAATTTTTTCTATCATACATATCCAAGATCAGGAGCTGTATTTTACAAAACATGAATAAAGATCAAAATGACTGAACATGCAGACACATAATCACAAATTTACAGCAAAACAGAAAATATATTACATGTGTGCAAACTCTGTACCTTTTTTGCTATACTATTATGGAAATACAACTTTGCTGTAAATGCCATAGTTATCATTAAGAAGTGTTTCTTTAATATAGTAGCAATAGCATATGTCAGGGGTGTCAAACTTCATTTCAGCTACCATTCTGAGGGCTGACAAGGGATTATACTTACAGTACCTACATATACGCAATTTCATGTTTATTTGTTTGTGTATTAAATTTTAAATGATGACAATAATGGTAACAAAATGTATTTGACATTATTTTCTATCACAGTGTACATAATTTCCCAGGCTAATAATTATTCTTCTCATCCCGTGGGCCACGTGTCACCATCCTGAGGGCCAAGTTTGGCATGCAGGCCATGAATTTGGCATCCCTTACATATGTAGTTTGCTAT